CAGCAGCGTGTCTGAAGGTTTTATCAAAACTGCTTTCCTTTCAGTACTTGACTGTGTAGTCCGAGTGCAAACTTATACAAATGTGAACATGAGTGCACGAAACTGAACACTCTCCTGTAAAAAACCCATTTTCTAACCCAAATCAAGTTTAATCTTGCAATTGGTAAAATATATAGAGCAGACGCGAGCCTCAAAATTCTCAAATTTCTGAATTTAGTCTCGTGAAAATGGTTGGAACTGATGAAACTGAACCCTTTCCGTAAAAAACTCGAATTACTGTGCTGTCAGGTTGTTTGGTTAGTTTTTATTTTTGCCCAAAAATTTTTGCTAATTTTTCCCATATCTCAATCGTATTTTTCTGCGGAAGAACTGATCGGATTCTGATGAGAACAGTGTAAGCGTTCAAGCAAACCACTTCTGAAGAAGCAAGCCACTTAGGCTTAGATGCCTAAAAAGAATCTAATGTTTCCCAATTATGGATTTGTGTTGAATTTTAAATCTGATGATGGCGCCGTTGTCTCGCCGAAACGTTATCTGAAATAAACATTTTTATTTCACATTTTGACTGAAACCCAGGAGGGCAAAAATATAGTTCTAAGTAGGATGGTGTTTTGATTTTTTTGAGCAGGCAACAACATCAAGATCATCGCAAGCAGAAGCAAGAACAGCAAACTGCAGCTGCATCACGTGTTTGCCATCGACGTCTGGGAGGATTTCGTCTACTGGACCGACTGGGAAACCAAGTCGATCGAACGGTGCAACAAATACACCGGAGAAAACTGCTCGACGATTTTAAGCACCGTTCATCGGCCAATGGATGTTCGAGTGGTGCATCCGCTGCGACAGCCCAAGGTGACTTCTATTGCCCAGTTTTAGAAGCCCCAAGTGTTGCTCAATAACCATTCAATGTTGATCAGGTGGAGAACAATCCTTGCGAAAAAGCCAACTGCTCAGCCCTCTGTTTGCTGGCGCCCAAAGAGCCGTATTTCGTCTGCCAATGTCCCGAGAACTACGTTTTAGGTGAGCATCAAGCTCCCATATCATTCTCCTGCTGATTTGCGTTCATTTAGGCAAAGACGGTCGTTCCTGTGATGCCAACTGCACTTCGTCGCATTTCGAATGCAAGGCGAACTACAAGTGCATCCCGTTTTGGTGGATGTGCGATACTCAAGACGATTGCGGCGATGGTAATGGAAAAACCGACTTTTAAGTCAATTTGTTGGATTGAAACTAATGGGTTTTTAGGCCGTCGTTCGGTAGAATTTCTTCTTGACGTTTTGCAAGCACGAGTGGCTTGCATCTTCAGAAGTGGTTTGCTTGAAGAAATTCTACCGAACGACGAGAATGTATTCCTGACGTTTTGCAAGCACGAGTGGCTTGCATCTTCAGAAGTGGTTTGCTTGAACGCTTACACTGTTCTCATCAGAACCCGATCAGTTCTGCGGAAGAACTGATGAAAAATACGATTGAGATATGGGAAAAAGTTGCAAAAACTTATGGGCAAAAATAAAAACTAACCAAACAACCTGACAACACAGTAGTTTGGGTTTTTTTACGAAAAGGGTTCAGTTTCACAAAAACACTCATCAGTTACGACCATTTTCACGAGACTAAATTCAGAAATTTGAGAATTTTGAGGCTCGCGTCTGCTCGATATATTTTAACAATTGCAAGATTAAACTTGATTTGGGTGAGAAAATGGGTTTTTTAAAGGAGAGTGTTCAGGTTCGTACACTCATGTTCACATTTGTATAAGTTTGCACTCGGACTACACAGTCAAGTACTGAAAGGAAAGCAGTTTTGATAAAACCTTCAGACACGCTGCTGTGTATTTGG